AACTGGCGGTCAGTTTCAGCAGCGGCTGAATCTGGACGCCAGTTCCGACTTACATACAGATTCAACTTAAGAACAAACCTACAGTCCCTATCTTGTACGTAACCCGGGGACTGCCTGTATTCTGATTGCACAGTGAAGTGCTCAAAAGTTAGGAGATACCAAGGCTGGTGTTGCCTGTTATTACCAATAGCAATATTGAACAAGGGCGGTCAGTTTCAGCAGCGGCTGAATCTGGACGCCAGTTCCGACTTACATACAGATTCAACTTAAGAACAAACCTACAGTCCCTATCTTGTACGTAACCCGGGGACTGCCTGTATTCTGATTGCACAGTGAAGTGCTCAAAAGTTAGGAGATACCAAGGCTGGTGTTGCCTGTTATTACCAATAGCAATATTGAACAAGAAAGGTGAAAGTCTAATAATAATGTGGCTAGTCACTAAAAATCTATTTTCTGGAGAATCTCACATCCAGAATAAAGTACCTGGATCTTATGTAATCAGGCCTATTTTTATATGAAGAGTGGAAAAAAATTATCAGAAAATTAGCTTATTATTTTCCTGGACCTGACTTTAAGTTTTGATTTTTCCTCTGTATTAAACTGTGCATGATAAAAAGGAATGCTTTTTAACATAATGTGAAACTTCAGACTTTGAGCTTAGTCTACACTTAGGCCTAGATTACGCTATGTTCTCTCCCATTTTCCTCCTCTGTCAATCTAAGATACGTAGCCGAAGTCTGTGTTTTGCATGGTGTTTTCCATAAAGCAAAGGTGGTGGGAGCTGCTCTCCTGTCCACTGCAGCTACTCTTCTTGTCCTGGTGGAGTACTGGAGTTGACAGGAGTGCTCAGAGACTGATTTATTGTTTCTAAGCAGATGTGATAAATTGACCACTGGTGGATCGATTGCTGCAACATCAATCCACCATGTAATGAGGAGAAACCTTTATTTTTTTCATAGTATTCGGCTATACTACACAACAACATAAGATAGGAAGCTTGTTGAAAATCCATAGGTTTTTTATTAGATATAATGTAATGACCTAAATTGGAATTTAGCTAGAACATTGAGATTAAATTTGCAAAGTACCATGGGATTTTTAACTGCATGTGTTCCAGACTTCCTCTTTATTCTGTCTTGTTTAAAAGATTGCATTTCCAAAGGCACAATACCCTATATGCTGCATTGGGGATTGGTTCAATACTGATTCAGATAGGATGCCACTTACTGAAATTATTAAAATACTTTTGAAGTGTCTGTCACAAACTATTCATGGACTACAGAATGCTGGTCCATCTGCCTGGAAAGGATAATTACTTTTCCCTCCCAGTGAATCACCAGCATGATTTCTTGTAGCATTAGTCTACCTTGAACTTGCTTAATTTATGAAATATGAGACCATACCTAAGATGTGGCTGTAGACTGTACAGTACAGTTTCTGGAAGTGATTTGTGTAATTGTATAACACTTAAAATGCAGATTCATAGCATCAGTGCAAACCTGCTTTGTCATTTCAAATTTCCTCCTATACAGTGATGCTAAAACAATAGAAATTAACAGAAAATGTATTTTTCCTGTTTCTCCTAACCCCATACTCTTATCAAATTTACTGTAAAAAACTAACAATTAAATAGTTTATATTATGTAAATAAACATCACTGTAAGCTTTGTTTTCTGGAGTACAGGAATTCATTTGTTGTATTTTCATTCATTTTATAGGTACGCAATAACAGTGTGGTATTTTGATGCAGATGAAAGAGCACGAGCTAAAGTAAAATATCTAACTGGTAATTAATCACTTGTGTATTATGTGTTCTTGGTTTTCTGGGGGGGAGGGGAAATCCTAAGTAGCCTTAACACTATGAACAAAAAGAGGGATAACATAATTTTTTGTGTATGTATTTTCATTCATTTTATAGGTACGCAATAACAGTGTGGTATTTTGATGCAGATGAAAGAGCACGAGCTAAAGTAAAATATCTAACTGGTAATTAATCACTTGTGTATTATGTGTTCTTGGTTTTCTGGGGGGGAGGGGAAATCCTAAGTAGCCTTAACACTATGAACAAAAAGAGGGATAACATAATTTTTTGTGTAGTCATGTTTTAGA